CCTTTGGTTGGCCCTGAGACTTATTTTCCTGTAGCCCTGTGCAACCATTGGACCACAGCTCAGGTGTGCAGTGTAGGCATATGATCTCAGAGAAAATTGCCTTTGGTGTGCCGATATTCTGTTTACCTGTCTGGTTACAGGCCTTCATCCAAAAATTGCCTGGGAGTTTCCCTCTGCCCTCTCAATTCTTCAGATTTTTAAAAAGTGATTTTGAAAGATTTTCTCCAGTAGGAAATTTGAATCAAGTAACCAAGCCTGCCATTGTCAGAAACTAGAAGTCCATACTCTTAAATGTTTAAACATTACTTGACTTAACAAGGTCTAAATTTAGGCAATATCCCTAACCTCTTCTCAAACAACACAAGAACCTTAGAATGACTTAAGTATTAGAATCCCCTGCAGTCTTACATGTTTTTGTGGGCCAGTGCTTTTAGTTTCAGTTTGTTTTTATATCCCCGTATTATTCAACATTATTGTTTTATATACTTAATGCTTATTTAGTTTTCCCACATTTACCAATTTTTGTTCACCATTACTTGCCTCCCACTCATCACTTCTCTCTGATTTCAATTTCCTTCTTCCTTAAGTATATCTGTCAGTAGTTATTTTAGTGAGAGTTTATCAGTAATCAACTTTCTTAGTTTTTTTTTTTTCCTGAAAATGTCCTTATTTCACCCTCAAAAAAGGAGTAGTAGTTCTTCTCATCATTATTTCTTGGGGATACTAATTGTCCTCCTTCTGGCAACTGCTGACTCTTCTTCATGGTATATCATTTCTTTGCAAGAACTATATTTTTGTTGTTTGTCTCAGAGCACATCTTCAGCAGATCTTGCTTTTATCATGTGCCCTGGATTGTGAAAATGTATTGTATCTGCTTTTGCTAAGGTTCTAGAAGTTTCAGTACTTCTGCTTTTTTCTTTTCTTTTAATGTTTTAGCATGTGGTTCTTATGATACACAGTAGGGTAGATTTAGACCCACATCCATATAGGCATGGGGATTTTACTTCTGGTGGCTCCAGAGAGAGCATAAGCCTCTTCATTGTTTCCTTTTCAAACCCCTTTTAATGGGCAGAGAAGCTACTAAAGGCTTTATCCAGGTTTCAGTTCCAGTTCTTCTGCCTCTGGTGGACCTGAGGCTGTGTCATCAATATCTGCTTGGGCATTAGACTCCCAGCTCCAAGTCCCTAGTCACTAGGGCCTGATATCTGGAACCAATACTGCAATGGGTCATTGTGTTGTCAGTTTACAATTACTACACTGGCTTTTTCTTGTTTTGGAGATTTTACTTTGTCTTTTATTTTTTTAAGGTCAGCTATAAATTTAAATTTTTGTTATAGTTTATCTAGTGTTAATATGTGTTTGTTCTATCTAGTGTTAATATGTGTGTGTGGGGGGCTAGTCATACTATCTTAATGTGCTATATTGCCAGAATAAACCATACTTTAATACCTATGATTTTATACCGTATTTATAATTAAGCATTTTCCCTTATCACTTCCTTCCTCGTAAATAGCTACTTATTTAGGTTTCAAGGAAATTAAATCTCCCTCAGAACCATCCAGATTAACAGCACATATGAGGCCAGGTCTCTGTAGCACATTGGATTATTTTCCAGATATATCACCCATGTGATTTAAGTACATCATTCCCCTGAGGTCTAAAATTCCTTAGCATAGTGATTTTCAAACATTAAAAAAAATAATAATAGTTATTATTATTCATAATTTTTCTTGACAAAAGGCTTCAGATCTGAAGCTCATAAAATAATGTTGAGCAAAGCAGCCAAACACAAAAGAATACATACTGAATGATTCTGTTTATATAAGGTATGCAAACAGGCAACACTAACCTAAGTGAAAGAAGTCAGGATAGGGATTAATTACTCTTGGAAGTTGACTGGAAGGAAGCAGGAGGGGTGCCTTTGAGTCATGGGTAATATTCTGTTTCTTGATCTGGGTGCTGTTTACAGAATTTGTAGAAATTCATCCAGCTGTACCCTTAGGATAAGCACTCTTTTCCTGTGTATTTGATATACTTCAATACGAAAGGTTAAAAAAGGCATTGGGTCACCTGCAGGCTGTAAGTGCTGGGCTATATACTCTCAAAGGTCTTGGGCCTTCACTTTTGGGAGAGAAATATGCGTTTGGAGAAAACACAGATTCCTGGCACCAGGTCTACCGCATCATGACAATATGAATTTTATGGCGGCTACTGTTTCTTGATTAGAAAAGACCTCTTGGTTGATGGCATCCCTGATCAGAATTCCTTGTGAATTGGGAAGAAGTGACGTGTTACCTAGTGACTTGTAGGCCAGAGTAAGGTTTAGCATCTGGCTACTCCAGGAAGTGGTACGGTTCTGGATTTCTAAGTAGGTGTCATGGATTGAATTGTGTCCCCCCAAAATTGTGTATATCAATTTGACTGGGCCATGATTCCCAGTATTGTGTGGTTTTCCTTCATTTTGTGATTGTAATTTTATGTTAAAGAGGATTAGGGTAGGATTGTAACACCCTTACTAAGGTCACATCCCTGATCCAATGTAAAGGGAGTTTCCTTAGGGTGTGGCCTGCACCACCTTTTATCTTAGAAGAGATAAAAGGAAAGGGAAGCAAGCAAAGAGTTAGAGATCTCACACCACCAAGAAAGCAGTGCCAGGAGCAGAGTGCATCCTTTGGACCTAAGGTTCCTGCGCTGAGATGCTCTCAGACCAAGGGAAGACTGATGACAAGGACCTTCCTCCAGAGCGGACAGAGAAAGCGTTACCCTGGAGCTGATGCCCTGAATTTGGACTTGTAGCCTACTAGACTGTGAGAGAATAAATTTCTTTTGTTAAAGCCATCCGCTTGTGGTATTTCTGTTATAGCAGCACTAGATGACCAAGACACTAGGTTAGGTGAAGAAAACCTGGGAAGCATGTGTAATGGGTGAAAGGAAAGCATCTCATTTTTTTGCCTCTCATTCTGAGCTCTATGGGTGGTAAGACCCCCAGTTGTGAGCACCCATCTTTTGCCTGTGCCCGTCTGGTCCCAGATCATAAATCTACATATGAACACATCCCTGTAAACAGCACCCAGATCAAGAAACAGAACATTACCAGTGACTCAAAGGCACCCCTCCAGCTTCCTTCCAGTCAACTTCCAAGAGTTTCCCCAGGCCTTACCAGCTTGTAGATATAGATGGAGTCACAACTAAAGAAGTAGCTTAAATTCCACTGGCTCTTGCCCCCATCTGCTCACATAAAAATTCCAGCCCCCATGTAAAAGAACCCAGTTGTGTCTGAAAAGTCCCCAGTAGGTTAAAAACCAATCTGGTTTAAACATTTCCCATGTTCTTCTTTACTTATTCTGGGCCCCATCTTTGTGTACTCTGCCCATGAAGCTGCTTAACAAGCAGTACCCACCCACTCCCACCACAGCGGCTGTGCCCACCAGGGAATGTTAATGAAGGTGCCAAGGGTGTTAACTCTTGATCTGCCTAAATGCCTCAGCCATGGAGGTGCCTACCCATGTGCCATACATGCTCAAACATGCCTGAATCTCAGTTTGAGCTTAAGGTAACACATACCTGCTGAATACATGATGCCCTGGGTCCCACAGTGGTGTGATCTGAAAGCAGGCCCTGGCTGCTGCTACACTCCATAGCTCAGTTTGGGGGTTGGTGACTGGTAGGGGATAGGGCTGGGCTTGAATGGCTCCCCTGTTGCTGAGGGACAATGGTGTTTTCCAGAGCAGATAAGGTGCGTGGTTCAATCAGGAAGCGCCAGGCACAGCTACTCCCTCTGGTGGTCTGTGCCTTCCACCAGTTGAAAACAGTGACGTCAGGTTTAGCAGTCTCACGCAATTCATAGCTCTTAGTCCTCTTTGAACTATTCCTGAGTGCAGGGTATTTAAAAGGCAGTTTCTATATCAGACAAATCCAAAATAAGGCATGCTCTATTAAAAATGCTGATGTCATAAAAGATGAAGAAAGGTTGTGGAAATGTTCCAGATGAAAGGAGGCTAAAGAGACAAGACAACTAAATGCAATACCTCACCCTAGACCAGATCCTGTAAAGGAAGGGGGAAATGCTATAAAGCACATTGGATCAACACACAAAACTGGAGTACAAATGGTAGATTAGATAAAAGTATTGTACTAATGTTAAATTTACCAAAGTTGTCAACTATACTGTGGTGACATAAGGGAATATGCCTATTTATAGGAAATGCACACTGATGTATTTAGGCGTGAAGCACCATGATGTATACAATGTACCCTCATATGGTTCAAACACACACACACACATATTTATGAGAGAGAGTGCACCTGTAAACGATAAAGCAAATGGGTAAAATGTTAACAATAGGTAAATCTGGGTAAAGGGTATATGGATGTTCTATGTATTTTATTTTTATTTTTGCAACTTTTCTGTAACTTTGAAATTATTTCCAAATAAAATGTTTTTTAAAAAAATAAAAGGCCATTTCTGTTCAAGCAGTCAGAATCTGGTGGTACATGCCTGACTGGCAGAGGACTGAGGACATGGGCTATTTTCCCAGGCGGGGCTACCAGACACATCCCCAAAGGTAGTTAGAGACCCTACATGAAGTTGCCAAGTATCATTTGAGGCCACCTATCTCTTGACCTCCCCCATCCTGCAAGACACCAAAAATAACATTTTACATTTTCTTCTAAGAATTACGGGCTCTGGGTGTTGATGAAAATTTTATGAAAGGTAGGTGTATACGTTCATTCACCCATTCATTCAGTAAATGTTTTGAAAACGACTTACTCTGTGCCAGGCACTGTGCTACAGGGCTGAGAATGCAGCAGGTTATAAGACACAACTCCTGTCCTCAAGGAGCCTATGAGCTAGTTGGGGATGTAGTCCATAAACAAGTAGCCACATTAATAAATATTTATTTCCAAGTGAGTTGACCACAAAGTAGACTTGAGAAGCCATGGGGGAGCCCAGCCTTTCACACAAGCCATTGTATCCAAGCCCACGGATCTGATACACATTGAGTTTACCCCCAGACTTTTCTAGGTAGTAGGTACTTTTGTACCTGACGCTGAAAAGAAAGGAAGAAATCACCAGTGCTTACCCCATCCTGGACTCATCCCATCTGTTTGGGCTCAGCTCTCTCAGGCTGCTCTGCCCTCTGTCAGAATCAGGGAGAGACCAACAGGTCACTCTATCAATATCCCTGTTCTGATGGACCAATGAGTTTCGGACAAGTCTTTCTACTGATCCATACAAACATTTACCATGGAAATGTAGCAGCTAAACTCATAATGCTTTTAGAAGGCAAAGACCACTAAATAATACCCTCGTGTGGAAGCATGGAAGCCTCCTGGCCCTGAAAGTCCACTCATTGTGGTGCTGAGTCATGAAAACAACATGACTGTCTTCCAAATGGACAAAATGACTTTTTGGAGGGCAGTTGTGGTTCTCCCTCCCCTGCCCAATCCTGGGTGTGGCACTATTGGTGATGCCCTGTACACAAGGGACAGTAGTGGAGTCTATTGCCTTGGGGCTCCAAGGAGACAGCGTTGGGGAGGGAACTGTGTCTGTGTGTGTCTGCACATGACACAATGTGTGTCCTTTCTGTCCATGGGTCTCAGATGGGACTGATCTGTACCTCTGATGCATTCTGGTATTGGTCAAAGAAGTTTCACATACGGATCCAATGAATGTTTACTGAGCCCCTACAAAGTTCCAAGGCTTTTACTTTGTACTTTGACACATTTTATATCATTTAATCTTTACAGTAACCCTTTACGGTGGGAATTATCTGCATTTTACAGATGAGAAAACAATTGCAAAGAGGTTCATTGATTTGCTCAAGTATATCATACAGCTTTTTTTTTAATACACACTAAACTTTTAGCTGAGGACTGTCTGTGTAGGTTGCTTATAGTATTTCTTGTCTTGTCTACTTTTGGAGCAATTGCTCCCCTTGTACTAGCCTCCCTTCTTTCTTCTCCTTTCACTAGCCCATGTGGGCTTTTCTTTTGTTAATACTGCATTAAATAGCACAAAAATCACGAATACAAAGAAACTGGCAAAGGTGTTTGTCAATGAGATATCCCTGCCTCCTCACTTTTCTGCTTTCATACCCATATATGCAATGGGCTACATTTTTACAAGCTTTTCTTTTTTCCCCCAAACTTATAACTGTTATGTGATTGGTCAGTTGAAACTGAAACACCCATGGAGAAAGATGTTTTATGGTTACAAGGGCACACACACCCCCCACACCACCCCCCTCCCGCCCCACACCTTCCCACACAACCTTTTGGAGGAATATAGGCTATGTACCAGTGTCAAAATTTTCCTGCTCCTGCTTTCCAAACTCAGAGCATTCCTGCCATTTAATTTTCCTTTAATTGACTGCCTATACCTCTTCTCCCTCCCTCTATTTCTCTTCCAATCAAGACCTTTTGGACACTGGGTACTGTTCAATTCTTACTCTGTCAGGCCCATGGGCCATGGTCAAGTAGGTCCTTTAAATCTCGACGCCAATTGTAATATGGGTGCTGTCATTTTCCATTACAGGTAGATCTGTGTGTCACTTCAGTAGGCTTGCGTATTCATTTCTTTCACTTTTTCTGACTCATGTTCCAGGACCTGTTTGTGATAGAAAAGTAAATACCCTTCACTGTCCAGTACATCCTTAATGCTGGCCTTGGTGATGACAGCATCATCACATTTGAACCATTGGTCCTTGTGGTGCCGGATGAAGCTGGTATAGTGGCCACTCTCCAAGGTTCCTTGGTGATTAACCACAGCAAACAAGGAATACTTATTCTCGTTGTTTCCACTATTGGTTGGCAGCTGCAACTGTCCATTCATTCTGCTCTCTTTACTTGAGGCCATAAATGGTGTCATATCCAGCTCCAGAGGAAAGGAAATGTATGTAGTGATCTTGCGCCTCTGTTTGGCTGAGTGTTCAAACCGTTTGAAATGAAAACAGGCAACAACAGGTAATTTATTCATTGTGAGCTGTTTGGTAGATTCCTGGTAGCTTTGGCAACTACCACACTTGATTTTGGCATTGCTTCCTAAGTGTTCTGGCCTTGTAAACCTTCGCAAGCAGTCCGTGAGCGTGGTGATTCCTGGTATGTGGCTTTCCCCATTCACGCTGCTCTCTCTCCCTGGACTCATGGGCCAGAAGGAGGTGCAAGAGCCAGGCAAGTCCAAACTGATGTCCCAGCATGGGTCTATTGTGGTAGAGACACCATGGCAGGCTTGACAAGTGACATCAGACTGCAGGCCACCTGTGAAGATTTGGTCTATGATGCAGTTACAGTGGTTGGGATTGTTGGCTGCCTTCCCAACATCATCACCTTTGCAATGCCTGTGCAACACGTCTAATGCAGCAATGAGGAACTCATGGGCATCCTGTTGCCTGTACCCTGCTAAATGGCGTGCATGTATCCATACCAGGTGCAGTAACTTATAGGGAACATGAGGAGACGGGTTTCCAGAATACAACTCTCGAAAAAGAGAAGACATCTCACAGACCAGACACAACTCAGGACTTGGCATTTCACATCTGTGCCTGTCAGAGAGGAAGAAATCTCTCAGGATCGGAGTGTGGGTGAGTGCCTGTACAATGCAGTTCATAAAGCACGTGTTGCCAAGATTGATGAGTCCTCTTAAACCGATGGTAAAGCTTGAGGTGATCCTTCTTCTCCGTGGGTTGTGTCCCAGCAATTCTAACTCCGGTTTGGTTGTTTCCCAGGTTGGATATTTCTCACCAAGGCCTGGTTTTGAACACTGCTGGTGAGAAACCTCTGTTGAGGTGGAGGCTTGTAATTTCAAAGCTTCTCCTTGCTCTTCTTTGGCAATTTGCTCAATGTCTTTGTCATATACATAATCCTTACACATAAAGCAGTATATACCTCCATAGTAAAGGTCTACGGCTAAGTTGTGTTGTTTTGTCTCAGCGTGCTCATGAATGTGTTTCTCGGTAAAGCAGCCAAAGAAGACACAGGAAAGGCAAGAGTGGAGTCTGTTCAAATGGGTGCCACACACATGGCAGATGCATGACTTTGCCTTGCTTTTCCTGGTCTCTGGGGTTCCACACCACACGAAGCACTGGTAGATTAACCGCAGTTCCTGCCTCCAGTTCTCTCCCACCTTAAAACTGTTCACGTGGGAACAGCTTGGTGGACCCACCGCAAAATCCACATCCAGGCATCCGCCCCCAGGGCCGCGCCGGGGCCGGGGCCGGGGCGGGGGCCGTGGCCTAGGCTGCGGCGGGGTACGGAGTCGGGTCTGGGGCCGGGGTCGGGGTCGGCGGCGGGGAGCACGACTGCGACGCGGGGAGGGATCGGGGGGCCGCGGCGGGTCGGAGGGGAGGGTTGGGGGAGGAACCTCGTCGCTGCTGCCGCCACCGCCGCTCCGCGCTGGGTTCTCATCCTCTAGCTCCTGCTTCCCCTTCGGCTCCTGCTCCGCCTCCCGGACCGGCTCGGGTGCTGGCTCCAGCTTGAGCTCAACCCGGCGGCCCGGACCCTCCGCCGTTTCCACCTTCCCGGCGGCGTCCACCTTCCCCGCCGCCTCCACCTTCCCGACGGCGTCCACCTTCCCCGCCGCCTCCACCTTCCCCTCCACCTTCGCCTCCGCCTCCACCTTCCTCTCCGCGGTCTCTGCCGTCTCCGCCTCCGCTACCTCCTCCGCCTCCACTGCCTGCGGCTCCTCCCCCTGCTCGCAGGGCTCAGGCGGCCACTGGGCGTGGCGGCGCGGGGGCCGCGCAGACTTGGGGTGTCCCCCGCCCGGCCTGAGGGAGCGCGGTAGCGGTGGCAGCTGGACCCAAAAGGGACTTTCACTGAAGGGGGCGGCGGAAGCAGGCGACGCCCCCGGGAATCCTCCAGCCGTAGCCCCCTAGCGGAGGCCGCTTCTACAGCCAGGCCCCGTTTCCTTTAATTCAATATTTCCCAAACTTGCTTGTTCACGAGAATCACGTGGGGGAGCGTGTTAAAATCACCGATTCCTCGGCTCCACCCGCAGACCTACTGAATCAGCATCTCTAAGGGAGGTACTCTGGAACCTGTATCTTTAACTAGGGCCTGGGAGGATTCTTATGATCAGGCAAGTTTGGGAAACACAGCTCTAATTCATTGAGGCTGGCGGGAAGGGGGGCGGGGACCGCGCAGTCTCTTTAAGGCGCTTCCAGTTCTCAGCTCCAATCGCTGCTCTGACCCCCTTCGTCGTCTCCTCCCCTCTTCTCGTCCTTCCCTTCATCCGTGTAGGCTTTCTCCAGCACTGCGGGGCTAGGGATTGAGCAGTTGCCAAGACCAGAAACGTTTCTGAGGTGGTGAAATGTCACCTCGGAGGCTGGGTTGTGAGGAGCACAGTCAGAAGCTGTGACAGGCCATCATTTCTGTAGCGGAGCCTGCCCCCAGCCCTGTCCCAGTCTGCCCTCCCACCCCAAACTCTGCCCTTTTCTACGAGGATGCGCTCCAGCTCCGCAGGAGCAGGCCAGGACTCCAGATCCGGAGGAGCAGAGCTCCCAAGGCTGCTAGGCCTGCAAAGGCACGTCCCTTTGCCCATCTTATCGGTGCTGTGCAGTCTGTGCCTGCTCCTCACCTCCTTCTCGGGTTCCCAAGGCCGTGGGTGGGTTGAGGCTTTGGCAGCCAGCCTCTGGCCCTGCAGATGCTGCTGAGCAGCCTGGGGGGAGGTGGGCGGGGGTAGAACCCAGCTCTTGTCTCCAAGGCCAGCGGGAGGGACAAGGCACAATAAGGCCATCCCTACAGCTGAGACAGTGACCTAAACTCCAGGACACAGTCCCAAGGCCCTGTAACCCTAGCAGAATCCTGGGTTTGGGCAGCAGGTGGGAATGGAAGGGCAGCAGCTTTGGTCTGTGGAGGTGCCAGTGTGGGGTGGTGGGGGTCTGAGGGACTTCTTGGAAATCCTGTGGTGAAAGGCTGGGGGCATTGGGCAGCAGCACCATGGAGCCCATGAAGAGACAGACCAGAACAAGTGGCTCAGGTCTTGGATATGGCTGGGGGATGTCGGGAAGCAGCTGCAGGTGCTGGTCCCAGGGAGTGCAGCCAAGGGCAGGCATCTGGACTTGGGTCAGAGGAAAAGTAGATAATCAGTGCTTGAGGATCAGGGAGCATGTTCTAGAGACAGTCTGGTACCGTGAGTCCTGGTGCTGGCTGGCCTTGGCCTAGTACACACTGCCCAGTTGTGGGTCTGTGCTGCCTGATTATTACCAGAGCAAAGTTCTCCTTGGCTAGCATGGGACATCACCCCTCCACCTGGCGCCTTCCTTCAGGGAAGTGGGAGCCCAGGCCTCCTGGGGTAGCAGCAGGAGTTGGTTGTCAGGAATTAGGAGCCCTTAGGGAGGATGCCTGGGTCCCATCAGGCAGCCTCTGTGCTAGTTCTCCCAGGGTCCACGGAGGGGTCCCATTCCTCAGGTGAAGTAGACGGATAGTTGGTGCCATATCAACCATGCTCTGGGGCTTTGCTCTGCACACCAGAAAATGATGGCAGGAGGGGCAGAACTACTGCAGCTGAGGTCCCAAGAGCTGCTCTGGTGCCTGCTCTTCCTAAGTCCACCTCCTGCCTCAACTCCTTGAAGCACCCCAGTGTCCTTCCAATATATTCTTGCTCTTTGTGGCCTGCAACCAGAGGACTGGAAACTAGCACACCCACTGAAGGAATCCTGCCTCTGCTGCTGCTGCTCCTTTTGCTGCAACAAGTGACTGAGGTTATGGAGTGTGTGTGTAGGGGTGGGCAGGAGGAACTCTCCTCCCACCTCCACAGAGTAACAGAAGTCAAAGAGACCTAAAGATTTCTGTGTACCTGGAACTGTCTAACATGGAAAGCTAGTCATGGTAACCTGGCTGTTTCCTTAATCAACTTCCTGCGAAGCCCACAGATCCACCTGGACTCTGCCCAGGCCAGCAGGTTCTGGAAGTGGAGGGCTCTGCCACCATTCACTCATCAAATGATAATTTGACATCCACTGAGAACCAGGTACTATGCTGGGAGCCATGGACACAGCCCTGAACCAAAGGTGCTCCACAACCTGACCCCAGGGCCAAAAGCAATGGCAGGTTCCCCAAAAGGCAGACTAACAAAGTGTCTAGGTTACCATCAGGTAACCAAACCAAGCCAAAGCCACTGCCATTGAGTCGATTCTAACTCATGGTGACCCCATGTGTAAGGGGCACCCAAACCAAAAAGCCAAGAAAAAAAATATTGAAAGCAGTTTGATATTTTATTTTTTAAAGTAGTCCTCATGGGAAAAATCAGATTTGTCGTGGTCCTTACTCCTTGACTGTATGTTGCTTTTACTTTGAATCACATGTGGAGGATTCCACCATAATATTTTTGTTGCTTAGTGTTCGTATAGGCCTAGATTCACTCCTGGGCAGAATTTAACCATCTCTGCCCCACAAAGGCCTGATGGAACACTAGCAAAGGGGCTGACCTAAGGAGACAACTATTGCAGCTGATGTGCCTGGGTGTCAAACACAACTCTGGCCACAAGGTGGCAAAAGAGTATGTGACAATTCCATATATCCGGTGGTACAGTGGTTAAGCGTTCAGCTGCTAACCCAAAGGTCGGTAGTTTGAATCCACCAGCCGCTCCTTGGAAACTCTATGGGGCAGTTGTACTGTGTCCTCTAGGGTAGCTATGAGTTGGAATTGACTCGACTGCAATGGGTTTTTTTGTTTGTTTGATACACACACACATATATTTCGTATATTCATATAAAACTACTAGTTTATATCAAAATACTCTCAAAATATTTTGAAAATATTGTGCCCCTTCACATATATGTATATATTTTCCATTTCAATCATTTTTTTTTTCATTGTGCTTTAGGTAAAAGTTTACAGAGCAAATTAGTTTCTCGTTAAATAATTAGTACACATAATGTTTTGTGACGTTGGTTGCCAACCCTGCAAAGTGTCAACACTTTCCCCTTTTCAACCTATTCGTCTAGTTTTCCTGTCCCTTTCACATATTTTTAGGTTGGTATCTAAAATTTTGCATCATTAATGTGACTAGATGCAAATAATGTAGTTTCTGACAAATATTAGCATTTCAAAAATAAAACTGTTACATCACGATTTTACACCATAGTGATTTGATTGCCACTCTCATCTGTTTTAAAAATTCATAACTAAGCTCTGCTTTGATAGTTGGAAGTTGTATGTTTTTTCTTTTCTCCCTGAATTCTTAATTCCATTCTATTCTCCCAACAGAATTTTATTCTAATAATATATTTTTTGCAATTGAAACTATTTAATTGATTACCCTATCATAATTCTCCACAGCAAAAATTTGCATGTATTTTGCAATTTAAATGTTTTAAATATTCCTGTGATCAAAAGTGTTGTTTAAAAAATTTACACTTGCTTGAGTTATCATGACCATTAGTATTAAAATACAATAGATCAAAATGTAAATATATTGCAAATTATGATAATTATTCAATGTAAAAATAAATATTTATTGGGTATGCATCTCTTGATGAGATAGATAGGGCTTTTTTTAGTCGGTGTATCCATGGATAAATATTGCTTATTGCTAGAATAAGACAGAATTCAGCATCAATTCTCTTTTTATTTTTTGTTTGGTTAGATGTTGGCACATAGAAACCTCGTTTATATAAATAGGGAATGGATATTTTGTTTTAGCAATGCCACTCAATTCTATAAGTTCCTTGGGAGATATATGGAAAAAATTACACAATGATTTATCATCAAAATTAGTTTTCATAAATTTATCAGCTGACAACCCCATTGGGTTCTCCTTCAATTTTATTGGAAGCAAAAAATTGAAAACCATCTGAATTGCAAAATGATTTGATCCTCACTCATTAGCTGTGAGTTGCCATTAAGTCGATTCTGACTCATGGACATCCCATGTGTTACAGAGTAGAACTGCTCCATAGGGTTTTCTTGGCTGTAATCTTGACAGAAGCTGATCGCCAGGCCTATCTTCCATGGTACCACTGGCTGGGTTCGAACCAGCAACCTTTAGATTTGCAGTCAAGTGCAAACCATTTGTGTTCTCTGGAAGATCACTTTTAGGAAAGAATACATAGGAAATTTGAGGATGTAGAAAGTTATTCCCTTAAAACTGTAAGTACTTATTTACTGTGTGGAATGTCTTCCTGTACCACCCAGGGTAATACACACTCTGCTTTGAAAGTTGCTGGTTTATATTTATTATTTTTTTATAATTTATTTTATTTTGTTGCTGTTGTTGACAGTATACACAGCAGAACATGCACCAACTCAACAGCTTCTACATGTACAATTCAGTGACACTGATTACATTCTTTGAGTTGTGCAACCATTCTCACCCTCCTTTTCTGAGTAGTTCCTCCACCATTAACATAAACTCACTGCTTCTAAGGTTCCTATCTAATCTTTAGAGTTGCTGTTGTCAATTTGATACCATATAGATAGTTCTTAAAAGAGCATAATGCTCAAGGCAGATATTTTTCACTAGTTAAGCTAAACCATTGTTTGGTTTTAAGGAGACTTCAGGGGATATTTTTGGTTTAAGATTTAAAGATTATCTCAGAGCAATAGTTTCAGAGGTTCATCCACCCTCCATGGCTCCAGAAAGTGTGGAGTCCATGAGAATTAGATATTCTTTTTTTTTTTTTTTGAGGAACAGAAATTTATTCTCTCACAGTCCAGGAGGCTAGAAGTCTGAATTCAGGGTGCCAGCTCCAGGGGAAGGCTTTCTCTCTCTGTTGGCTCTGGGGAGAGGTCCTTATCATCAATCTTCCCCTGGGTCTAGGAGTTTCTCAGTGCAGGGACCCTGGGTTCAAGGACACACTACACTCCTGGCTCTTCTTTCTTGGTGGTATGAGGTCACTTCCCTCTCTGCTTGCTTCTCTCTTTTATATCTCAAAATAGATTGACTCAAGATACAACCTAATCCTGTAGATTGTGTCCTGCCTCATTAACATAACTGCCTCTAATCCTGTTTCATTACCATCATACCACCACTAAAAAAAAAAACCAAACCCATTGCTGTTGAGTCAATTACAACTCATAGCAAACCTATAGGACAGAGTAGAACTGCCCCCATAGGGTTTCCAAAGATGGCTGGTGGATTTGAACTGCTGACCTTTTGATTAGCAGCTGAGCTCTTAACCACTCTGCCACCAGAGCTCCTATTAACATCATAGAGGTTAGGATTTACAACACACAGGACAATTACATAGGTCACAAAATGGAGGACAACCACATAATACTGGGAATCACAGCCTAGCCAAGTTGACACACATTTTTGTGGGGGACACAATTCAGTACATGACAACCATGAACTGCCCAAAGAACAAATCAGTCTTAGAAGAAATAGATCTGGAATGCTGCTTAGAAGTGAGGATGGCAAAACTATGACTCACTTAATTTGGACACATTATCAGGAAAGACCAATCACGAGAGAAGGACATCTTGTCTGGTAAAGCAGAGGGTCAGCACAAACAAGAAAAACCCTCAATGAGATGGATTCCCACAATAGCCTCAATAATGGGGTCAAACATATCAAAGATTATGGAGATGGTACAGGA